CCTCAAATCAGAGAACTGACGACACACACACATCCAGACACTCAATCAGAGAACTGACGACACGCACACATCCAGACACTCAATCAGAGAACTGATTACACGCACACACCGAGACACTCGGAGAACTGACTACAAACACAGAAACTCCTAAAGCAACTTAAGATCCCCATGTACTCTTTACAAATGACACAAAGGTAAAGGGATTACATTTTTTTGGTAACTGATTCAAAGATCTCATTCAGCAGTTCCATGAAGGAAGCCAGGGTATTCCAGGTTTGAAAAATGGCTGGGCAGCTTGCTGCATATGCCCACAATCCTTTCACCTTTGCCATACATTTGCATGGGTATTACAAATAGTACATGATATTCTAAACGAGGTGTAAGTTGTAAATTGCACAATTTTAATAACAACTCTTGATTCAAATTCTACATTTTATTTGTAGAATTCTAGAAACTGTACAATGTATGCCCTAGCAATTTGTTTTCCTTTTTATTGCTTCTCCACATTGTCTGGAATATGTAAACAATGTCACAAACAATAAATGCCCAAATATTACATCTATAGTTTATGTTTTTGCTAACTGCATGCAAATCCTTGCATTTGTCTACATGTAATTTTATCTGTCAGTGTTTGTCCAGTTTTCTAAATCCTTTTGAATTTCCCTTGTTGTCCCTATAATGTACAGTATTCTAGTACTCCTATTTTGGTATCATCTGCTAATGTGACTAGTATGCTAACTATACCACAATCTACAATAGATCTATCTAGATTTATATATCAAAATGAGCTGTGGTCCTAGTACGGATTCCTGTGGTACTCCACTAATTATCTGAGACTGATCATTCAGAAATTAACTGGACTCTCTGTTTTCTATCCATTCAACCAAGTTTCAACCCAAATATATACATTTCAATACTAATACCAACTGTCAGTAATATGAAAGTTTATCAAAAGCCGTTACAAATATCAGTTAAACTGAAGAGTGTTTAATATGACATTTGTAAATATTATTTAACTTTTATTAAATCAGGATGCAATAAACACAATTTTTACCTGTTTGGTGTAGGTTGATGTCTGAGAACTTGCAGTGCTCCCTGTAGAATCTTTATATGATATAAGAGTACTTCGAACCTTGTACACGGCTTGATAGATTTCAATGAGTATTTCAGAAGGTTCATACCTGCAAGGTGATTAGAAGGTCAAGGTTAAAATGATCTTACACTGTTTTATGCCTTGAAACTATAACATTTAATGAAATCGCAAAGCTATAAACCACTTACGGTACACAGCCTTTAAAAGCATCAAAAACATTATTTTTAATTTTAAATGACATATAATTTTTACAGTACAAACATATTCTATTACTAGGGATTATACTGCAGTTACAAGCATTTTGTTTCAATATTTATTCACTGTAAAAGTAGTATTTATAAAAATAGATGTAATCATATTTTTTGTAATTGATTCTAATTTTTCACCTGTCTTGCCAGTAAGCTTCATCGAGCAGGCCAGTGTGCTTCAGTAAAGCAGCAAAACTGCAGCGACATGCTGTTTCAAGCAGGGAATCTCCAGCTGTACTGCCATTGTCCCAGTCTTCAGGGGTTTGCCAAAGGTGAATAACATCATAAATGGTACAAATACTTTATAAACCTAAGGTTTTGATGAAGTAAACAAATGCCTTGCAACTTGTGCAATGGTTCAATATCATTGTGCATTTATGAGAAATGAAAAGGGATAGACTTCGAATATCATCACCTGGCAAGGCGAGAAAGTTTACATTTCTGAGATACATTTTTAATATTCATTAATGACTGATGATGGTTATTCTTTCTCACTGAAAATAATGATAATCAGAAGACTTTGGAATATGAAGAAATCTTCATACTTAGCAGTTTGAGACATACAGTTTAAAAATTCTAGATTCCATATTCATACATATTAATACATGAACGTTTTCTAAATTAAAAAGCAAAATAAATAATTTACAAAAAAGAAATAATAATGCTATGTAACAATAAACAATAAGACCTTCTTTGTTATTTGGAAAAAAACATGTAGATTGAAACAATCATTGATAAGTGGAAAAGTTAATATTCCAAAAATTCCTTTTCATGATTATCTATGATTATACGTATACCTATTTAGTATATTTTTCAGCATTTTCTGTCCACAAATGTAGTTTACCTTTGCTGATGGCGTAATCCTTCATTTTTCTCCAGAGTCCAAGAGCAGGCTCTCTTGATATGCCCAGAGCCAGATCTACCAGCAGGGAATTTTCCTCACTCACTTTCAAATCACCAAACTTGCCATCAGTACAGCCAGAGAGAGCTGCCTCTGTCAGCAAGGTCATTAGGGAGTCTACAGAAGAAAAAACGCACATCTTACCAATAAGGAAATCATGATTAGTGGTGTTTATTTTGCAATAACATTTGCTTTATATAACCATACTCAGAGAACTACAGTATATCTTATTACAATCCAATAACTGGCTTCAGAGGATAACCTGAGATTCACAGGCATTCAAACTCAGAAGGCATGTCATTTGTAATCCCTAATAGGTCACATTACTATGTAAAATGACCACAGAAAATACCTAAATAATAGAGTAGTTTTTGGCCATACAGTAGGTACATGTACATTGGAATTCTTATTCGCACTGATCTCTCGGGACATACGTACACAGTACAACAGACGGCAACACACAACACAGTACATTAAAAACATAATAAATAATAACAACCGGAACAAAAAATATGTTGTGGGATAATAAATATGTAGTTATGAGAAAAACAAACACAGTAAACCACGCAAAAGTGCAGATGTGTAATGAGCCAAGTATTTTCTAAATACTACTGTAGAAAACAAATGACTGTAAATTCAAAAAATCCATACCTAACTGTTCATAGTCCATCTCTAGACCATTTCTGAAAAGGGGGTTATGCAGCCAGAACTCTGTAGCTATCTCCTGTGTGGAAGGAGGCTGCCCTTGTAGCATACCACCCAGACAACGCCCGATGGCCAGGGCCACTGATCTCTCCAAGTCCAGCAGCCACACCCAGCCCACAGGCTGATCCTCAGAAGACAACCCCTGACCATCGGAAATCTCTGAAACAACGTCAGTTCCAGGTGGATTCACAACTTCAAAACATCTAACAATCTTATATCTATTAAAAATTCAATTTCAATTTTTATCAGTGCCCCTTATGATAATTATAATATGTCAGTGTAAGTATACAGTATACAGCTATTGATAATATAATAGCTTTCCATTGTTTTTTGGCTGTAGATCAATGTAAAGTACTGTTCTTGAAGGTAATATTTTCAATATTTCTTACAAAAATTACTTTCATCCTAAAAAGGCATGTTTATTAACAACACCACAGGTGTATAATGGACATTTGTGAATGAATCATCAATGTACAGTAAAAGGAAATGAGTTCACCTAGATGCATACAGTACACCTGTTACACAGCAAACAAAGCCCTGAAAAAAGAAATGACCTTCAATAATGGCCAGTACTGCCTGTGATGTTCTTACCTAGTGACATTCCCTCCATCTCCTGTTCTTCCAGAAGCCCAGTGTCAGGCAAAAAACAGTTGAGTTCACTGATGTGTTCCAACAGAGAGAGCAGATGAGGCAGCAGGGGCCGCACAACGTGGAGAGGCAGGAGCAAGAGAGAGTAGATCACCTGGCACAACAGGCTACCTGCTGCAGAGCTGAACAGGACAGCTGAAATCCACACAGGGACATCAATGGTTAACAGCTGAACAAATGGTTACAAATGCACTGATAGGATCTTTGACCCATAATCTGCACATATCACAAAATGCATGTTAAATGGCTACCTTTTTTAAACACACTACATTAATGCTGGTGGTCCTTCAGTGTTTTAGCAAAATCGAAATAATTTTCTTTTAAACAAATATGCAGTGGATCTCAGAAGAACATTTATCTTGAAAAGTTATTTGTATTTTATGTTAAACTTACTGTGCAATTTTCTGATAACATGCTTGTCAAGAGAGCTCTCTTCTAGAAAAATGGTAGAACGCTTGAAGGTTTCTGCAGCACAAGGCAAAAGCAGGCAAAGGTGTCTGTGAAGCAAAGTTTCGCTGCAGTCCTCCTGAACAAAAAGAAGTTAATCTTTTTTTAAGGATTTTTGAAATAGTACATATAAAATAATAAAAACTTTGTATTACAAGGTATGCAGTTCCCCAGTGAGAGAACACACTGAGCGTACTGAACCAGCTGGGTTGCCATGACCAGTTTGGGATGGAACGATACAAGTCAAAACCGACTTCTCTGTTCTCTTTGACTAAGCAAAGAAAGTTTTTTGTACGCAGTGAAATGTGATAAAACATAGCAAATAACTCCTGGGCTTGGTGTCATAGAAAAAAAAAGAGATTAGTTACTTGCAATAAGATGTAACTTTGTGGCCATGTGTTATTTTAAAATGGATTTTGAAGTTTCTCATAAAGGGCTACACTATGTGAAGACAATTATAATTGAGCATTACTAAACTTAGGAAAAAAAGATAGAAAAGGCCTAATGAAAATAGAGAGTATACAGGGAATGCAAACGACAGCATACCTTGGTGCTGGTACTGATGTAGCAGTGTGCCAGGAGGTGTCTGTGGAGGGCTGACAGCAATCGATGAAAGTGAGGTGGTGGATCGGACTGCTTCTGAGCTTTGCTGCATTGTTGTTTGTCACTGTTCTTCTCCAGTTCACCAAAAGATCGTTCCTGCAAGTACACATTGTGTCTTTTTTTATTAGGTTTTCTAATGGTGTTTTTGGGAACCTACAGTTATTTTTGCACTGTATGCATACTGTAAATCACTGAAAGTGTTGTAGTTCTAAATCCAGGGCACACACAGCAATTGGGAAGGCATTGTGATCTTTCCTGTATAGTCCTATTGTTCGGCTAATTATGAGCAAAAAGATCAAACTGAATCCATACTAATGATAAGAAGTGTGCCCACACATATTTGCAGGATCATTAAATATACTATACAGTATGTCCAAAGAGGTCTGGACTTCAGTGTGAAGTACATGGTAATTGAATTGACACCAGCTCAAAAGAAAAAGATAAAACATCCATCTTTAATTACCCTTCACAGGGAAATTTGAACATAAAGCAATGTTTTCCATCACAAACTGCAGATTAAAAAGGAAATCTGCTAGTTATAACAACAATGTGATCCAAGGTATAGAAAAAACCTTGGCAAGCCTCAAAAAGCTAAATCTTTTCAAATAAGTACTGAACTTGATGCAAATTCCACTTATTTTCAGGGGAAAATATATTTTGGTCTCTTTTCTTTGGAAATATGCAGTCAATATTAAAAAATGAATTGGTACAGAGAACTGATGTACTCACAGTGTAATAACCAATATTCAGTAGTAGAGTTTTCAACAGGACTTCTGCTAGGTGAAAGTGATCAGGTGTCTCCAAGGTGCCTGATGGGGGCTCAAGTGAAGATGTGAAGCTTAACCCTACAGAGAGCTCCCCAGGTGAGCTGTACCCCAGCAAGCAGGCCACGTGGGACTGCTCCTGAAGGCTGTTCAGCACCATATCCAGCTGCAGTCTCTGAAACACACAAGACTCCGCTTACCCTACATGGATTCTCATTGGCATTTTTTAAAACAAACGTAAGCCGCAGATCTCAGTCAATATATGAACAAATCAATACAATACTGTAACAGACTGTCAGCTGGTGGGAGTCTGGAGAGGAAGCAGCTGGAGATGATCTCTACTGTGATGGATGACAGCTGCTGTCCTCTCCATATAAAATAGTGCTCTCTTTCCAGAAGGTGTGTGACGTAGCCGGGCAGAAGGCGAGACAAGGCACACTTAAGGGCTAAGTAAGGAAGCCCCTGACAGAAATAGAGAGACCACACAAATGAGCCGAAGACCCAAACCGCTGAGAGAGAAACCAAGGGGCTGACAGCAGATAGAGGCAAAGTGAGACAGACAGATGAGCCAAATATTGGAATTGTAGGTGATGTGACAAAAAGAATGGGAGATAGAAAACTGAGATGAAGAATCGTCTTGCTGTATTTGATTTTTTTCCAACTTTTCATTATTTTACTTAAATACTTACAGTATCATCATTGCCCCTCTCACACTAGCAGATAGATTAGCATAAAAGTAAGTGTGAAATAAGTATGATGGAGATCTAACTAAAGTGACAAACAATACAGAGTGTAGATTTAATTATTCCATTCAAGTCAGTGAATCTGCCTGTATATACCATCAGTTGCAACTTCTGAACCACAGGGGATACATTCTTTTTCAATGCATCTCTTTCTCCTCTCTCTTCTGAGAAGCTGGACTCAAATTTCAATTTTCATGAATATTTATTTGAAACTGTTGGGGATGCAAGGACATACTGTACGTAGCTGACACAATTTGTGTTATATAACAAAAAAAACTGATAATGGCAACAAACTAAAGTGTACTCTCACCTGGCCTTTTGTAAGGTTCTCCCAGCTATCAGGGCCCTGAGGTAGAAGTGAGTGCAAGAGCTCGGTTCTCTCCCTGAGAGGAGGCAGCAAGAGTGAAGCACCAATGGAGAGAGTATTCATCACTGCCTGGAAATTAACAGCATAATTTGGTTAAAAGGACACTTTTAGTCACCCTCCATCTAATCCTTGATGCTTTACTGTAAGACATTTACAAAGATTTTGATCGGTCAAACTGCTCAGACTGGACAAGAATTAAGGAAGGGGAGAGGAGAGACAGAAAGTACTGGACTGTACCTCCTGAATAGAATCAGGAACACTGGAGTCAATGAGCCTGAAGAGCAGATTGCGGAGAGGCCTTCCCTGGGCTCCTAGGACTGTGGCTCCTGTTCCTCCAGCGTGGGCCAGGGACAGGTGAGTGGACAGCAGCTTCATACACAGCAGCACGAACTGGTGGTGCTCCCTGGGAAAAGAAATAGAAATCTCAGCTACTGTACAAGGAACTTACTCATCCCGAAATCTCAGCACATACACTACTCTGTTTCACTAACATCTGCAGACCAAGCACAATCGGTGTCATTGGCGGCTAAATAAGAATATTTGAAATAATTTGGTTCCAGGAAATATTTCTAATGTACATGTACAATATGGTAGATGCACGTTAAATGAGAAAACTAAGAGAGATCACCAATCTGAACATGACTTTTAATTTGACAGATTGTAACATACAATTTCAGCAACCAGAAGTCTCCAATTTCTTCAATGATGCAATTTCTTTAAGCAAATTTTCAATCAACTGAAAAATGCTGTATGAAAGATATTGAAATTAGTATAGAATTTCTGGCCACTGTAGGCTTTGGATAAAAAGAACCATTAAATGTTGACTCCAGTTATATTTTTAGTTGCACATTAAATGAAAAAATTAAGAGAGTTTAACTGTTATTAAAGGTTTTCTTACAACTTTTCATCTGACTCAGTTTTGGAATACAAATACTGAACCGTGCAATATACAATATGCAGTAAGCAACCAAAAGTCTCTGAAAAAAACGTTGCAGATAGGAGCAAATTATCACTTGTCTTAACATCCAACTGGGACCCAAAATCCAGCACTAAGCATAAAAAATGTCTAAGTAGAGTGGGAATGCTAACCCTAACCCTAGCTGGGGTTTCAACAGACCATTCCTGCAAACTGCCTCTGAAGCTCTCCAGTCACCAGATTTATAAATGTTCCTTAAAACAAAAAAAATCCTCTAAAACAATCAAAACCACTGAAAAAAGCTATTGGAAATTCAACTTCTTCAATGATGCAATTTCTTTAAGCAAATTTTCAATCACCTGAAAAATGCTGTATGAAAGATATTGAAATTAGTGTACATTACCGGCCACTGTAGGCTCTGGGTAAAAAGAACCATTACATATTGATTCCAGTTATACTGTACATCTAGTTAAATGAAAAACTTAAAGAGAGTTTAACCATTATAAAAGGTTTTTTTTACAACTTTTCATCTGACTCAGTTTTAAAATACTGAACCATGCAGCATAGAATTTCACCAAGCAAGTGTCCAAAAAAAAAGTTGCAGATAGGAGCAAATTATCACTTGTCTTAACATCCAACAGGGACCCAAAATCCAGAAGTAAGTGTAAAAATGTAGATTGGGAATGCTAACCCTAGCTGGGGTTTCAACAGAGCATTCCTGCAAACTGTCTCTGAAGCTTTCCAGTCACCAGATTCATACATGTTCTATTTGACTAAAAAAAGCAACAATATAAAGTTTAAAACAATCAAAACTACTTAAAACAAACTCTTAGAAATGTATCTTGTGCAAATTTCCAATCAGCTGAAAAATGCTGCATAAATGGTATTGAAATAAGTGTCCATATTAAGCCAGTGGAGGGTTTGGGTGACAAGATCCATTAAATATTGACTCTAGTTTACATCTACTGTATACATTATCCATGTCAGAGTACAAATTAATGGTATAGTATACAGCATATAACGTTGAACACTCTTGATAAATAATAGAAATTAGGGTCCCACTAATACAGTAGCTCCAATGACTGCACAAACAGACTTCATCATGGGAGTCTAGACTGTATCACCATTAGTTAGTGAAGACTTTTTGAGCAGTGACACTCAAGGGTTTCAAAGATCAGAGTAATGCTCAAGTTATCCTTAATGCACATCACTAACTCATGAGATCCACAAAGTGGAAGTGCAGAGGGAAATGCATTAGATACTAATCAATGTAAAGTCTCCTGTGATGCACTGTGGGCTCATACAGTACTTAATGTTGACTGTGTGTCAGAGGACAGAGTGCACAGTATTGTTTCCCATCTCTGCTAATGCAGGACCTATAACATTTTGGTGAGCAGATGGCAAGTGTATAAATAGCGTAAAACAAACACACAAGACTAAATAAATTAAGATTAAGGTTACATACATATACTTTTGCAAAATTCATGTAGTAGGACTGAATATTTTGCCTTTTCCATTATGATTGCCATTTGTTTTATTTTGCCACACTAATGAGTGATGGTAACAAAGCTCTAAATGAAATGCCTATTTTCACAAATATTCAATGTCTACAGACTTTTGGAGTTGATCTATTAAAATACAATTGACTCAAGTTTCGCCATTTATGTTATTAAATCTTTCCACATGTACCCTAAAATGCTTGCTTTCTTCTCAGTCACAGAGACAGAGAACATGACTCAACCACTAATACAATACGACAAAGCATAACTAAAAATTATATACTGTAAGTCTGAAACTACATTATTTTTCTGAGGTCCATTATTTCCATCTCACTTCCAGTGTTGTACACTACTGACACTGTGATGGAGGCAGTGTATGAGAGACTCTTCAATCAGAAGGTGACACATGCCAAAGGTTTTTAGTCATATAAATAAGATCTCCAGTACCTCTTAGACAGGAAAGGGGGTGGAGGAACATCACAGCTGAATCCATCACAGAAGCGTTCAAGAAAATTGCGGAGGTAACTGAAGGTGCTCTCTTCAAGATCCACACAGAAAGGTCTGTGCCAAGCCACAAGTTGTCTTAAAATAAAATTAGGGAGGTCAATAACAGACACTGGCTATAATTCAGAATGCTAATTTTTAAAAATTAGATATTAGAGATTAGAAATAGATGAAAAAAATCTGACAGGTTTTGACAATTTAATCTTTCCAAAACCATAGATACTTTTAAGTTAGTAAAATTAAAATAAATATCTGAAAATATTAGGTATTGTATTAGTATTGGGTAGAAGATCTGGTCTCACCATGTATCACCATGGTACCATGTAGCACGTTTGTATTATTGTTAATCAGTTACACACAGTTATAATGTAACTTTTTAATTAATACAGATTGTAACATCTGAAGAAACACAAAAGTCCAGTTTTGTTTACAAACTCATTGTGATTAGTTTTAGCAACCTCTTCCAGAGTTTCAATTTCGTCATAATTGACTTAAAGTACTTGATGCACCAGCTTCAAAAGATGAAATGATCTAATACAATTAAGAACAGAAGGGAGAATTTACTTATTGACTGTTGAATCCCAGAGCCAAATTTAAGCAAGGCACCAGAGTTTAATATAATTGAGTTGAACTAATTATATTCCAGTTATGAGAATTACTGAGTTCAGTCTTATGAACAGTGCAGCAGGATCTTTAATGACCAAGAAGTCAGGAACTTCATTTAAAGACTCATCCTAACAAAGGCACCTCCTTTAGTACAGTGTTCACATTCACCACTCTGAAGCAATGGTTTTAAAATTCTTGTCCGGAGGAACGTGTGCTACCTACTGGTCCAAAACACCACTCACGGTAGCAACAACCTGATTTTAATTTTACAGTAGGTGCCCAGCCTAGGATTGATGAGAGCCATTTTTTGCTTAGCCTTTGACGATCAGGCTAGAAGCTGATAAAGCTGTTTTGGCCTTACAATAGCTTTAGTGTATGATTTCCTGCCACAGAAAGAAAATATAAAGCTTCTCTTGCTCAAGTCCTACCTGTCTGTAGGCACTGCAGTCCAGGCCAGGCTATGGGAGGTACCCGCAGTGATCTGCTGAATGGCCACTCCTTCCAGTCCAATAACTTTCCTTGGTTTTGTGACTGGGGTAGAGGTATGGCCCTGTCCACACTGACCCATCGCATTATTACCCCATGCATACACTTCATTTTCTGAAATCAATAACATTGAATAATTCAAGTAGAGAGCTGCATTAGCATTCATAGGCTGCAAAGGAACAGGTAAAGGTTTATTCGGCTGTGAAGAAACTTTCTGTGTTTCTTTTCTTCTCTTTTGAATAATTTCACATTTATTACACTTCAAAGCATCTGTTCATAAATCACGTATTACTGTTCTTAAACAAATCTGCTGACTGTTAATGAAAAATTAGACTACTTAATATACCATTCAGAAATTTCTAGAGATACTATTTCTATGAGCCCACCCATACTTGTTTATTGAAGTATTTAAAAAGGAAATACAACAGTTATTATGAGATACAAAATGCATACGGTGGAAATGTCACACAGTTTTTTTTGTGAATAATACTTTCGCAGTATAACTACAACTTACAGTACACAAAAAGAACCAAATAAATCCTTGTGTCTTTTTTTAAAATACAGTAAATGCTTTGCTGATATGTACATTTTTACTGTTGGTCATTTTATTCTACTGCATTAATTGCTTTGACAACGCTTTATTCAAACTAGAATTGTATCAAGTAAAGATAAACATGTCAAGTAAAGATAAATAAAGACCAAGTACAGGGTTGAAGCAATGAGAAAACAACTCACCGTGTGACAATGCAAGGCAGTGACTGTCCCCACAGGAAATATCAATGATCTTAGTGACACCCAGCTCCTCTATGAACCTGGGTCTCAGGGAAGTTGTTTCAGAAGACCCACATCCAAGACACGATCCACAGCCCCACGCAAACACCTCAACACAGGCACAGAGAAAGAGTGTTAAAAGAGCTCACTTCCAGAGATTCAGGAAAAATATTCAATTGTTGTGACAAATTGAAGTTTCAGAGGGTGAACAACAAGAAAAGTGTAGTCACAGTGCTGAACAACAAGGCAATCTTGTGCAATATTTGGAGTAATCCAATGCCTTTGAGGATTTTGAATACTTGTAACAGTTCCCCTTGTAGTCTTCTCTGCTCTAAACTAAAAAGTTACAGTTCAGTCTGTCAGTGTACAACATTTATCCTAAGTGCCAGAATACATGTCTGTTCCTCACTGGACTGATACGAGAACAGCTGCAATATCTTTTTTGTAGCATGGTGATCAAAATTGTACACAATGTTATAAATGAAGCCTGACTAGTTCACTATACAATTTTAACATAACATCCATCCATTTTCTAACCACTTTATCCAATAAAGTGTGGTGGGAAAGCCAGAGGCTAAACCTGCAAGCAACGGACACCCTAAATGAGACTCCAATCCATCGCAGAACATAACATCTCTTGTTTTGAGTTCTACTGTACATGTTTTACATTTTGTTAGTCTTTTTTTATTGTTTCATCACATTGTATGTTTTGCTTATCCTACTATTTCCGTTTCGTCTGCAATCTTGACTTGAAACTGGTGAATGATACACATTCCATCCACCCATTTTCTAACCTCTTCTTCCAATTCAGTGTCACGGAGAAGCCAGAGCCTATTCCAGAAAGCAATGGCCACAAGGCAGGGTACATCCTGGACTTTGACACCAGTCAATCGGAGGGATATGCATTCCTTGATGATAATTCTTGAATTTCCAGTTCCTCTAACCTACTTCAGGCATACAGAAGTAAAACAAAACAGTCTCCCAATGCTCTGTTACCAGCAATAACTCTTCTTTCCATACCTGTCCTGCAGATGTCAATGCCAGTGAAGACTGACTGCCCGCACACACTTTCCTGATAATGAGTCCATGTAAAGCCTCAATTATTTTGGGCCTATAAACACGATTTGTATCTCCATGACCGAGTTTACCTGTTAAAAAATAGATGATTGGTACCCATTTCAATACAATTGCAAGATAGCTTATTAAGTGAGTATAAGGATATTAAGAATCTTATGTGGCACAATTTAGAAAAAATAAAATAAATAAAGCAAAAATACCATAACACAAGGTCATCCAAGAAACAAATAATGCAGATTTCTTAACTTACCAGTAATTGTGCTTTTTAAATTTTGACAACATGGGCTATAAATGTGTTTTACTAATATCAGCTCAGTTATTCATGTACAATAAGTGTACTGTGTACACTGATCATTTTACCCACCCAAACATTATAATATAAATAATGTTAAACATCTCATGGATTCTTGATACATACTGTATAAAGAACACTCACCCCATCAATCTTTCAGTTCTGAATTGCAAATATACAGTACTTTCATAGAATTCTTGCCTTCTTTTGTTTCTTTCAATTTCTGAACTACATACCATTGTCTCCTCCTCCAAAGGACCACACCACTCTTCCGTCCTGAGCCACAACGATAGTGTGAGAGCTGCCACAGGCTGCCTGTCCCACTCCACTGATATCCTTCACCAGGGTTGGGACATTACGACTATGGCTATCACTGTGACCTGTGACAGGTCAAAATATGCATCTAATGAAGTACAAAAGGAGCAGTTTTGAAAACTGCTTTTTTTTAAATAAACGTACTCCCATAATCTTTGCTTGAAATATTCCCAATAAAACACTGAAACAACACACACGGAACCAAATTATTCTGCTTTCAAAAGTAAATACAAGTTAGCAACCTAGATTAAATTACTTATTTGCATATCTGCACACACCTGCATGTAACAGTTAGGCAACATTTCGTTTGCTACATAAAATTAATGTAAAAAAAAACAGAGAACACCCACCAAGCCTGCCAAAATCCCCTTCTCCCCAGGTGTAGAGCTCTCCATCATTAGTCACTGCTGCACTGTGTCTGTAGCCAGCAGACACACACACCACCACCTGCCAGGTTATACAATTCATTCAGTTTATCTCTTGAATCAATCGAACGCCACCTCATGAGACTTTAGCAAACACATTTTCAGAGGACTTTCAGTGCTACAAGATATTCGTTCAATTATGAAACACTTGAAATTATATCTGTTCTTTACCTTGCCAAGTAATGGTCCCTGGATGAGTTTAGGGTATTTCTGAGTAGCACTGTTTCCATGCCCCAGTTTTCCATAGTCCCCATCTCCCCAGCTGAAGACTTCCCCTTCTGTGGTTACTGCCAGAGTATGGCCATCAGAGCCCTTGGAAGAGGAGACCTTCCTCATGTTTCGAGGGGGCTCCAGCACCAGTCTCTTGGGCACAGACTGGTTGTTCGAGTCTCCCAGCCCCAGTCTCCCATAGCTGCCTTTCCCACAGGCCTTCACAGAGCCATCGGCAGATACCGAGAAAGTGCAGTACTGCCCCGCTTCAATCTAAAAAAGCACAGACAGAAAGGCAAACCCAGCTTAAAATTCAATATGAGTTAGGAATCAACCCATTTCTCAATGTATACAGTGCTGTAAATACAGAATCTCATGTTTTCAACTAGCGCTGAACAAGGTTCACCTTTTAAGTATAATTGATTCTGAATTCCTCAATTTCATGACTTAAAAAGGAAAGAAGACATTACACGAATTTATTTGCCTATAAGTCAATTATATGTCTTAGTTTATGCATGACACACAAAGCAGCTACCAGTATAATGGGGAAACTGAAAGAATAATTGTGTTATACTTTATTGAATTTAATCTAATAGGCTTTTTATGGAAAAGCTGCAGGTGAGCTGGAGCAGTCACTGGACTCAGTAACTTTGCAGCACAAGATGGTACAGCATGTATACTGCACTTACAGCATAAGTCTAGGAAAACCAGAGTATTTTTGGGGTTATGCTGAAGTGTTTGATGAAGGTAATATGCAAACTGTTTCACTTACTGAAACAGTTACAGTACATACACCTTCCATAAATGTTTGTTGGATTCATAAAATTTTCAGCATTCTCTTCAAAGATAGTCACACCTCATTATTCAACTTATTTCATTAAACCACAGACTCCTGTCCACCGACACACATGGGAAAAACAGAGTCTCACTGTAAAGAGTTGGACAGTGTTCACCAAATCGTTTGACAGATTTGTAAAATCAGAAAAAAAGAGCAGAGATGTTAATTTCAAAAGCAGTCTCTATTTTTCTCCACAGGCAGCATCTCTGTGGTCCTTTTGTGTTTTATTAACAACAAACCCCATAACTGTAAATGTCATGCTTATAATATATATTTAAGTAATCAGTTTGCATATAAGCAATACCTATTTACTGTGGATTCTTAAATTTGTAATCTTACTAAGAAAACACATTTGACTTGTACCATTTGAGCATCACTAAATCCCTGTGCCAGCTTGGGCTGCAGGATCTTCTCCAGAGTGCCTTCTGCTAGCTGGTGACTGCTGTTACTACCCCAGACATACACCATCACTGTGTCACTCTCTATCCCCAGGGATCCAGTGCCGGTGCTGCACGAACACAAGCAGCTTGAAGCCAGGTTACAGATCTGAAAAAAAAAACATCCCAATAAGGCACTGATTTATAATTGGAATACCACCATTGAAACTGCATGTAAAACACTGGATCTTATTTTATCTACGTCTTATCTTCAACTACAATTCAAATACAATATTAAAGTTAACACCATTTTTCAAAGCACATATACACACATGGTAACACTGTTTGGATTAACCAAGAGAAAACGTGTATATCTTTCCATTTTCAGTAGCTAAAAATAAATGTAAATCTGTATAAAAAAAAACATTATTTAGAGATGCGTACAATGCAATGTATTATGGGAATAATTCATTTACACATAATTCATCTTTCTCAAACTGAATCCAAAAAACAATGGCTAATCATCTTAATTATTGAAAAAAGATGCAATGCAATGTGCAGGGCATGAAAATACATGATTAACAGGATTTGCTACATGCAAATCCTGCAGAGGTGTGACTCGTTTTCTGTGAACTGTTATTGTGAAAAATACCCTGGTTTTCCAGGTTTGTGAGATAGTTTTAATTCACCATAAACATATCACAGAACAGAATCCCAAAATGTTACATTGCTAATGTTTGCAGCTTTTGTAACATAGCTGATATTCAGTTAGCATGATTCCAAGAGGGATAGTTCCATACATAACGTGTATTCTTGTGTTTCAGAATTTTTTTTTTTTTTTTAATGCAAACAGCTTTTTATTTGTACTTTTCCAAGTATTTAGAAGTGTGAACTTGTCATGGATTCAGTCTTGCTTGGTCTGACTGAGGAAATGGCCGCCAGATAGACTAGAGTTGTCCATATGCCTCATGTGATACTCTGGGTTGATGTCACTTGCTAACCTACAGGGTCTGATTGACAGCCAAGGCTTGTCTGTCACTCCTAAGATGGTAGGCAGTTTTTTCAGGATGGTGCTGTACAGCAAAAGGAAAGCACACACCTCATCAAATAGACAGAGAGCCACATGAGCAAGACTGCACAGTCCATCCACATTCTTCTTCAGCTCCGGACCATTGACAGAATCGCCACGGAAACCCTGGGGAACAATAATAAAAACAGTATGCACTTCACTACAAACACAGTAACAAGCAATAACTCAGGTATTTCAACAGTACTTCCTCTTTCCTCCGTTTTTAAAAAGGGACTGTGTTCATATTTCTCTCCTGACAATGTTCAAGTATCATAATCACTGGAATATGTACTGTATGTGCCTGAATATCACTTAATTGCTGACAGGTTTCTGGTTTGTAATGCTAATTTATTTTAAAACATTTGATTGTAAAGTGATATATAGATTGGGACGTAATTCACTGTGATTATCTTTTTGCAATTTGTCATAAATTCCAGCAACTACACAGACCAGTTTCACTTAAAGCATTATCTGAAATGTTTTTGGTGTGTATTTCTGAGACTATCAAAAAATATATCACAATCAATCAACATGTGTGATTTCTTTTTTGGTTTATTTAATATATACATATTTAAAATAGTGTATATGGTTTACTGTAGGAAAACCCTCACAATGCACACCTGGACCAATTAACCTTGCTAAGAAATAAAAAGAGATATGCACTATATATAACAGAAATATATTAAGTAATTTTACAATAGTGGATTGTAAAATAAATAATTAAATTAAATTTAAATTAAATTGAATTAACAGTCTCACAAATTGGTGCAGGTGACACTCACCAGTCCGATACAATTGTACATCTACTCTTTATATTCTCTATTGAAACTGAGACACCAGATTCTGATAAGCTCTTACAATACAATCTTGGACTGATCATTTTTGGCAATATAAAAACGATAAAGTGCATTTGCTTCTGTGAAGAAAAAAAAACTTCATCATTAAAAAAGCTTCAGTAAATGTGAGCAGATGGCCCAAATGAAAATAAAAACATTGTTATAATAGTGCCAAATGCTCATGTAGGTAGAATAAGGAGTGCAGAATTCAAAACTGAAAATCGTAACAATTGCCTACTGCCTTACCCTACTGTAATATCTCTTCTTGCAGAGTGGACAGTTATACTGTATAGGATGGCCATACTGTAGTTGCAGTATGATAATCATCCTAGGATATCAGAGTTTTTTTTTTAAAAAAGGGTTATAATTCACCTTTTTCACATACCTATTTTACATTTTCTATTTGTCCTTTTGTAAATATGTTCTTTTTTAGATTACCTTTTAGGCCACCTTCTCCACACAAAATATTATTATCATGTATTGATTCCTCTGATGGCTGTTTGTCTAAGAACTGCAAGCATGCTTTATGTTCTTAAGAAATACATACCGAATTTTGCCTCATTTGGGCCAGGGTTTGGAGAATGAAGTCATAGCCAATCCCTTCCTCACTCGCAGACAGCTTGGATGATCTCAAGCACGCCGCAGCAGAAGCAGTCAGCGCCACCTCGATCCACTCCAGCAGAAACCTGAGGGAGCCCCGCTGCATGGCCAGCCCCAGTAAGAGCTCTAGGGCCAGCCGCCTCCCCGCCACGTCTGCCCCTGAGCTGGGGACCGAGGTCCTCTTCAGAAAAGCCGTCACCTGAGCAAGGCAGTCCAGCCCCACCAGCGGGATCTTGTTCTCGTTCGCCAGGGACAGAGGGGGAAGGGAAGACAGTACAGAGGATGCCGTGGAAAGGACGTCATTGCACAGCGCCAAGCTGGGATCCAGCTGGGCTTGGTGCCAGTTCTGCTGCAAAAGGGCAAACAGCAGGCTGAGGCCTGTCCTCACACCCATCTCAATCAACACATCTGTTCCAGACTTCACCCGCGTCCCCTGCAGCCAAGTCTCCGAGGCCTTTTCCAACACCCCACTTTCCGCGCTGGGCACAGACTGGGCCGGGGGCCCCACCCGAAAGCGGTCGTGGTATTTGCTGTGAAGCGCGTAGTAGATCCTCTGCAGCACCACCAGCCTGTGATGCAGGGACAGGGCGTAGGGCGTGCTGGCCAGCGTGCGGCGGACCAGGCAGCGCTGGCTGTGGAGAAGAGCCGCCAGGTACTCCTCCCGCTCCTCCGTGGCGCTCGCTTCGTACTGGAAGTCGGGCAGCCGGGGGCCGAGTAGGTCTTGAACAGGCTGGGCCAATCCCACCACCTCCTTGTTGCTGAGGAGTTTGCTGTAGAGGGCGGCAGCGCCTTGGCGAATGGTCACCTGGACGCTGTCCTCTGCTGCCCATGAGCCATTCAGATGCTCCTGCCACTTCAACATCACATGGGTCTGACAAGGAACCATTTTCTAAACATAATCCTGCAACGAGACATGACAGTGTTTTAGAAATAGACAGCAAAAGGGAGGAAAACTTGCAACTGACATAAAACAGGTCTGATATTAAAAACATCAGAAACTAGCAACAAACTAGCAGTACAATTAACTATTGAAGACAAAAAGTTAGCATTACAGAATCTGAGCTTATGGCTATCATTTTATTTGACTTAAAATAGAAAACCACATTTGTATTTTTATTATTTATATTAATTTGTTATGTATTACCAGAACACTATATACATATTGTATAAAAAAGTATTGCACAGAACCCCCATGAAAGAAGCAGCGCATGATAAAGAAGGCAAACTTACAGTATAATGATATCATTCAATTATATTTTGTAATTCACACATTATGTGTTCTGCTATACACACAAGCATTCTCTTTACCTTTTCATTGCTTCCCCATATTGTCTTGATGAGGATGTTAGCCTAAAATAAATCTACAGAAATGCCAAAATCCCTTTTATCAGTAGCTTCCTGCAACTCAGAATCAACCCATGAGACATGTATAGTATGCATTCCTTCCTTTCATTTGCCATTTGTCTGCCCAATCCATGCTTTTCACAGAGTTTTTGTTATTATTTTGCTTCTTTGTGTTTCTTTCCCACTAATTCTGTGCTTTATAATTTGCTAAATAGACCACAAACTACATTGTTGGTATGATCCCTGGTTCATTGCTTTACACTTCTGCTTACACTGGTACAGGTAGAGGTCATACCCCTGCTGTTTTGCTATTTAACTGTTACCTGGTTTTTATTCCATGCACATACATTGCATTAAGTCCCTATTGCTTTAAATTTGAGGATTGATCTTTATATGGAATCTTATTTAAAGATTTCTGAAAATCATGCTTTACAGTTAGCAAGTTACGCAGCTCTATAAATGTAATTATTTTGCAGATATTGTTCTAGCTTAGCTCAAATGTTTTCAGTCCTTTACCAGTAACAGAAATAAAAGTTATTGGTCTATATATTCTGGTTCCGTTTTGCAATTATTGAGTTTGCAGTTCACCGATTTGTGTGTACAATAGTTTAACAATTGTAATTAAGGGTCTTTGAATCACATCCTTCATTTCCTTAAGTACAGGTAGGAAAATATCATCCAGTCCCAGTCATTAGAGTCATTTTAGTCCCTGCAATACCTCAGTGTCTGTTATGCAAAATGATTTCATTGCAGAAATACCTTCCAAATGCTCTAACAATTATGAGAACCTTTAAAAAGAGAAATGGATACAGAAACCAAAAAGTAAGCCTTGTCCTGGAAACGACAGTCATGAAAGTTTGTTTTTATTCCTATAATCATAACCTAAACAGACTTTTTCAATGAGCTGAGCTGAAAAAATCATGTGCTGTTTACCACACAAGCTTCCACGCATACTCTGTGAGATTAGCTATGCGGTGCTAATGCTGCTGAATTAACACGTCACTGTTAAATCTGCTGGGCCCGATGACCTTATTTAGAGCAGTAGATGTGTTTCTTTTCTAAAGGAACATTTGAGAATAGATAGATAGATAATACTTTATTAATCCCCTAGGGAAATTGATGAAATTTGAGAATATTCTCAAATTTGAGAATTAAATAAATTTGAGAATATGATTTAAGAAACATAACTCCAAGAACAAACCAGTAAAAGCTCTGCCACAACCAGCATAATAATATTGTAACGCATACGGCTGTCAGTGGTGTGTAAGAGCCGGCTTACCAGAGCGGTGACGTCACCGCCCTTCCCTGTTATAGCAGGACTACAGCCACTGGGCTGTAGAGAGATCTCTCTTTAGCTCAACAAGCTGGGTCCCTGTTGAGTGATGCCGGAGGCCCGGGTTCGCGTCCCCCACGGTGCAGGGGCCGACCTGTGTAGGCAGAAGGTAAGGGCGCCCACCTGAACCCCGTTGTGTTACAATATTAATAATGTGATATTCATACAATACATTTTTTCTGCTATCCACGAGAAGCCATTTGTTTCATTATGCAGAAAACACCTGAACCTTATCCAAAGTACACTGCAATTAGCACTGTAACAGAGCTGCTGCAGGAAAAGCACATTCATGAGGAAGAGGTTCTGCTTCTATTCTTCATGGAAAGGGAACTTCAACAAATCCAATCAACCTACCTTTTAATTGTACCAGAGTGAAACCAGAGTGTACAGAGAAAATATTCTTGAACGTGAGGCAAATGTGCAAACTCCTCACAAAAGACAAACCACCTCAGAGACGAGCTCAAGACACATGAGCTGTGAGGCAGTGCTTCTGACCTGCAGTGTACTGTAGCTTATGACAATCCAGTATGATTGTCAATCAACAGTATGATTCACGCCTGGCTGAATGATGACAGGAAATCTGGCTTTCTGAGGCTGAAATGAAGAGGAATTGAAAGCCTCATTTTTCACTTTAAAATATTATAAAATTGTATTTTACTGATATTAGTGGAATCCATGTATGACCAATTACATCCCCAAAATAAATTACAAGTGTTTTTAAAACCTTTGAATTCTCTGAATTTTCTATGACAAAGAGCATTTCTTTTTTCCCTAGATTATGACAACTACTTTTCTCTCCCAACAGAAACGCTCCTGTAGTTATTTCACCAACACTTGCTGTGTCTGCATGGCTATGGATTGCTTTAAAGCTGGTTTCCAAGGTTCCTCTAAATAAGATTTGTAAGTCTTGATAATTGGTTATAAAATTATTCTATTACAATGACTAGAACACGACTATAGAACACTGTATCACAAATATATGTTATATGTGATACAGTAATAAGATTATTTCAGCTGATCACAAAATGTGAAAATATAGCATGAGCTTTCCAGTAGTTATGCACAGTTTTCAAGTAATTATTTTAGCACATTAGTTATATGCCTACAGGAACAACCCACTGCCACATACATTCTGTTATGGAATTAACGTACTGAAACCAAGACGGACTATAGTTGATGTCTTGTTCTGTGTCCTCTCCCCCTTAGACGATAAGGGAGGCCATTAAGGAAGCCGTAAACCAATTTGAATCAACTCTGACATCTCAAAGCCTTTAGCAGACACTTATGAGCAGACAGCTGATTTGGTGCCAGTTTGCAACAACTCCATAGTTAACCTTCAATTTGAAGCCAATTACCAGCAGTCACCGAGAACCCAGATCTCCTTTCATTAATCCAACCAAGGTGGAGTGAGCCCCATCAATCACATGACAAGTGCCAGCCAGCCATTGGGTTGCATCAAGACAACAGCCACCAATGAGGATACCAACTCAAGGGCCGCTGATCACTGCTCACAAATTGCCGCCATCCAATCATCATGAATGACAAGGCAGGTTAAAAGGCACAGTGGTACTTTTGAAAGTCTCTCTGCATGTTTTCTAAAGCCCTGAGAATGAGTCTAAATTGAGCAGGAAAAGACAAAGTCCTACAGCCTTTTGCGTCACATGTTAATTAATTAGTGTACAGTATGGGATAGTCACTAACGTTGCCTGACGTGAATGTCACTAGAATTTTTGTTTGTTACATCAAACTGAAGTTTATTAACTGGATTCAGTTCTTTATTTAAATGAGATTCTCTGTTGAGAAATGTGAACCAGTGTTGGAGTGGTCTCCTCTGAGGCTATCACATGAAGCAATGCAAAGCACTACAACCGTCAAGGCCTAATCACAGGCCAAGAAAATTTATTGCATGAGCTATATACAATTTCCTGAATTTATAAATAACAGGAAGCTTCTCATGATCTAACACCTCACAGTTTTTTCAAACTAAATATCAGGACCACAATTTACTATACTTCAAAACAGACCTATGTTTTGAAATGTTATCTTGTAAAAACATTTTGTATGCACAAAACCAGTAGTTTGGGGACTCCACTGTTAAAAAATAATAATTCTAATTTGTGATCCCCATCTGTTTTATTATGACATTTCACACATTTTGATTTTAAAGCAAAATTACTTCGTCTTCATTGTAATAGTGACTCTTTTATATTGTAACATTTTGTTTAATCCAGATTTATTATTGCCAATTAATTTATGCTCATTTTAAAGGTTATGTTTCTTGTTGAAATTTAACCCCTGTGTCCTTCCTTGTACCTTGAATGAAAATATACTGTACGCCCAATTCCCCTAATAAAACTAACCTCTTCTTTTACCTTTTTTAGCTGTTAAAACTGTATTTGGGCATCTCCAAAAAAAGAATGTGAAACCCTGTATTATAATCAATTGCTCATCACAGTTTAAACTCAGGAAATATCGTCAATAATAGCAATACAACAACTAAGCAAGCACGTAATACATTAACGTCTCAGTAATATTAGAAAGCAGACTGCGTTGTTTTACGTGTTCACTATTTGGAGGCCTTGGATTTTGTCCATAAAGATTTGTTCCGTGCCTATAACTCCACACACTTCATTAGACTTAATCAAAGGTCAAATACTGTATCACCGACTTCAATTAACAGTCAAGATTGAGGGAAGGCGTAGTGGGGCTCAAGCCAAAAACTGTTTTTGATTACCGCCTTGGGACGTCCCGACTCAAACAGGTGTGGTCACGTTACAGCCTGCTGACAACCCAAGTGCAGGCTACGGGAATACAATAATACATACAGTATACTGTAGCTCCCTATTACGTTTTGTGCAAAACATAATTTTCTACAAAGCCGATTCCGACATTGCATTAATAACGCTTAGAAAACGAGAATAAGTAAAAAAACAGAACTGTTGGTCGACAAGAAATGCAGTATGCTGTACTTAACAGTAATTGAGAGACAGAAAAAAGTCAGGCTATTCTGCGAATCGACTACTTTGGGGAGGTTAAATGTAATTGCTACTGGTACTGTACAGGTTACAACCTACCTGTACTTTACACTCACACTTCGCTGACTATTTCAACCATATGAAGTGGTTAATCAGAACCAGTGTGGGTTCTCACCACTATTGTCAACGAACACGTATTTTACAGTAGTCTCACGCACTGTGCAACATAATGAAAACCTATTTTTAGTATAAATAGTATGCTGATTCTTGTACATTTTGTTTAATCATTGGGATATATAAGTCCCTGTCCGGCACGCTAACATAACCGATCACCACCACAGCTGTGCAACTTTGGTACCGTTTACATTTTGTCTGATCTGTATAATTTATGTCACTACACACATTTGTAATCCCGTGACTTTATGACAGTAATAATGCATAAAAATAATCGAAGGTTGATAATCCTACCTCTCTTGTGTCATTCACACCCCAGTCAGTGCCCTCTGTCAGATTCTTATACTAGACAACAAATTTACCCGGCTCACAAAAAAAGAAAAACACGTTTTTATCTGTAGGTATTAAAAGCAATCTTCGTGCCTTGGAACTGATATTCAGCAGTAATGCTGTGTAATTGTTGTGACACTGTCCGTGGTCCTATCTCTAAACAACTCTACCGTTTGTTGCCATGAAAAACAGCGCAGCCCTCCACGCATTGTGCGTGCACACGCGTGTCGTAGGAACTGCAACTAAACGTCACTGCGTTGTCTAGACATCTGGGATGAACTAGGGTTTTGAAAGATTAATGCTTATCCATTATTTCCCACTTCTTCATTACGAATTTATTTCTTTAATTCTTACTGTTCCGTTATCCAACAGATTTAATTGCGTTAATTTTCAATATAGAAAGAGTGAAGATTGACAATAACTTCCTTATATTGGGGAACCAATATGAGTTATAAAGCATGTAAGAACAATTTTATCTGGGGTATATTTAGGAAGAAAACGTATTCTATCCTGAGGAGAATATTCTATTACAACGTTTGTTTGTTTGTTTGTTTGTTTGTTTTCGAAAACATGCATTGAAATAAATCCTAGTAAGAGAACAGAACGTCAATTCAAAATTTTACATACTGTAATATTTATCCAACTTTCTCGTTGGAAAATGAACTCATTTAAACTAAATATGATCATGTTGTACCGTGTTTTATTCCTGTTTTTATTCTATTTCTTAACAGTAACCTTTTTAATGAGTTTTATAATTGTATTTATATATTGGCTTTAACAACATGGCCAGGTAGCTTGTTATATAGACAATATGGTACAGTAGGTACTTATACTGTATGTGCAAATATATTGTAAAGCTTGGCATGAAAAAAAGACATTAATTTTTTTTTTCAGGAGTTGAGAAATTCTTGGAATCTTGTTATGTGATGATGCTGACTTTATAGCCTTTTCCAACTGTCATATAGACAGTCTGTGTGAAGGCGTGTGACAGTCTGATTCTGAACCAACCAAGATAAGTTAATTTTCTTAAGGAATGCTCCTTCTCTGCCCATTTATTTCTTAGATTATTTACATGGGGTAAAGGCAGTACTTATAAGGCTCTTACTTCTGAAGACAGCCAAGAAATCCACATTCACACCAGACTACACATCTTACTGTTACTCAGCTTGCAAGATGCTGTCTTGATATTGTTAACTGCACAAAGACTGCAAATAAACCTTACCTTAGGCATGCTGGGTTGGTGTTGCCTCAGCATCACCAGTTACAGATCAACTCTCTGATTTTGTAATGGGTCTTGATTTTTTGGTCTTAAATTATCAGACAGTCATAATTCTATTTCAAAAAGATAATTAATAACCCTAACAAAACTTATAAAGGTACTTCTGCATTATGTTAATAAATGTAGCTTATTTTTCAAGCATTTTAACAAGTGTAGGAAAAGCTTCCCATATTGCCTTTCCTGCCCTTATCTTGCCTTTATAAACTGGATTGTTTTCTTTAAAATAGAGCTTAATTGCCATTAGTAACATGTACTGGTACAATGGAATTCTTACTTAAAGAAAGTCTCTTGATTGTTAAAAAAAAGTGTAAAACACAAAGTGCAGACAGTGCATCAAGACAATGTACAAATAAACAGTAGACAATGTAGAAGAAAACAAGTAAACAGTCGAATGTAAACAATGCAGACATGTAAAAAATTACTGCAGCTGTGCAATAAATAAAATTACAGTGAGGTAGATGGTGTAGATGTGGTCCGGGGGGCATGGCCAAATGTGTTCACCAATTGCACTGCTTGTGGATAGAAGCTATTGAAGAATCTGGTGGTAAGTGTCTGTATGCTCTTGTATCTCTTGCCAGAGGGCAGTGGGGTGAAGAGCTCATGCCCATGGTGGTGACTGTCCTCTGTGATTGTCAGAATTCTACCATGGCAGTGGTCCTCATAGAGCTGTTTAATCTGTTTAGTAAGACCACAGCCGATGATCCTCTGGGCCAGGTTCACCATTTTCTGCAGTGTCTTTCTCTCTCTCGAGAAGAGGTGTTGCCGTACCACACAGTGATCCCGTTGATGAGGATGCTCTCGATGGTGGAGCAGTAGAAGTTCACCAACACAGGTACTGGCATCCCCCATTGCTTGAGGCACCTCAGGAAATAGAGGCGCTGCTGAGCCTTCTTCAAGATAATGTCCATGTTCACAGTCCAGGATAGGTCATTAGAAATGTGAATTCCCAAAAACCTAAAGCTGGTGACTGTTTCCACTTCCGTTTCATTAATACTGAGTGAGCTGTGAGTGTGCGGCCTGTGTCTCCGAAAGTCTACAATTAGTTTTTTTTTTTTATTTTACTCACGTTCAAGTCCAGGTTATTGTTATGACACCACCTCAGTAGCTGTATGACTTCATCCTTGTAAGTGGACTTGTCATCATCGCTGATCAAGCCTATTATAGTGGTGTCATCCGCAAACTTAATGATGCCATTGTTGCTGTGTCTTGCTGTGCAGTCGTGATTGAATAGAAAGTACAACATTGGACTCAGACAGCAGCCTTGTGGTGTTCCAGTGCTCTGGGTGAGTGGTGATGATGTTTTATTACCTACCTGCACCACCTGTGGCCTCCCGATTAGAAGGTCCAGCAGCCAGTTGCAGACAGAGTTTCACAGACCTACAGTAATCCATTGAGTTTTGTCACCAGTTGGCTGGGTATGATTGAATTGAATGCTGAACTGTAGTCCACAAACAGCATTTTCACATATGAGAATCATCGAAAAGAGAAAAGATTAATTATTTCAGAATTTATCAGTGAATGTCACTGTCCATTACTCTGAGCAATGTTTTAAGCTTCAGATTATTTCACAGCGTATTTACTCAAACTGCTCTCACCTTGACTGCATTCCAGTGCAGAATTTTGTAATACAGTAATACAATTATTGTTTAATAAACTGTTTCTTATCAGTTAACAATTGCCTGTTGTCAAAATGAACATAATATGAAATGAATAGGATTTTTGAAAGAAAATAAATAAAGTAAATAGTTCTCTACCAAGAAAGACTTGACTTTTAGTTACTTTTGCCAAAAATGTTTTAGTAAAGCCCTCCATCTAGTGGTAGAAGATTGGTATTAAAATTCTATATTTGTAATGACTTTGCAATGCCCTTTTCCCTAAGGATTTTGCTTGCATGGATTTTTTCAAGGGCTGGGCTCACAATTCCAAGCAAACTTCGTAGGCCAACAAAGCATTCCAAATGTAGACCTACGTCCATATACATGAAAGGCTAGGTGTAACTGAAAGTGATCCTACAGAACTTTCCCGAGTACTGTACTTTAGGTGCCAGTATGAGTAAAGCTTATGGGTTTCACAGGATCAAAGTGATATACATTATTAGGAACAATTTATATCTCCAGTCAAAACCTCAAAACATTATCTAATATTTTATTGGCATTTTGCTTGGTAATCACCACAACAAAAACAAGGATAACAAATGAAGTACATTCTGTAGCCCAGGATAAGGGTAACTGTAGAAAAAAGGGTTTGGGTTGGAGTTACCATCTTCTAACTTTTTAGTTTGCTTTTTACTGTTTTGCTCATGGAGCAAATTACAATGCTTATTATTGTTATTCAACATCAGATGTCTAGTTCTCAGTAGGACTAACAGTACGGTCACAGGGTAAAAAAGAGGCTTGGATTTGAAAAACCTTCTCCATAGCTGCTTCCTATATTGCAATCACAAAATAAAGAAACTGCACTCTGGCAAAAAGTTTGAAAATGTTTTTTCAGCTGTTCTTTTTTCTGGAGGTTAAGGTTTTGTAGGTCACCTTTGGTCGCGGTGCGCTGAAGTGTCCAGTTTTTTTGCCCTCTTTGGAAATTGAGGAATTCAAGAGTGAGTTACTGTATGTGATCACTGGATTGTGACAAATCAGACCAAGGAGTGATGACCACTGGAATTCACTCATTATTCCCACAAAACTAAATGTCATATCATTAGTACTCCAAGATCTGCAATTTAGGTGGAATAATCCTGGTGTTTTGTATACAAAATTCAGTGCCACTAGTGTCACTCTGAATATGAAGGCTAGATCTGAGAATTAATGTCACTGCCGTGTAGTTGGTCTGCTAGAATATAATGGCATTACATCCTTTTGGAATGTAAAATGGTATAAACAGTAAATGCAAGGCATTATAAAATTATAGGGCTACCTAAACTAATTTAGATATATGGACTACAAAATACAACATTGGCCAAAAGCATAGAATTCTCTTCATTTTTGTATTCGTTCTTAAGGACTATAATTTAGTTTTCTCAGCATTGATTACAATGGTTTGAAAATGAAAGCTCATTTAAACAAAGGCAGAATTTTAAAAGGGCTGTTAAACTCAGATCCTGGAGGTACAGTACACAGGCATCTCTGTCCTTTCCCCTGAGTTTTCACTCCATCAGTCTCTAGTAATTTATTTAAATGTAAAACGTCAGTACTTTTACCTAGACCTAAAAAAGATTTTAAGTTCTCTAACACGAATAAAGTGCATGTTTTATATCTTTACATGGCCTTAAAACATATATCTCGGAGAGCCACGTTTTGATCAATTCAATAAACCTTTGGAACAAAGACCTAGGAAAGACTGTGGCTGTGTTTCACAGATTTATATTTCAATAATGTTTATATCCAAAAAGTGACAACATTGTTTAGAAATAAATTCTTAAACAGCACCACATTTGCTCTTTAAAAACAAAACAAATTATTCTCGTTTTAACTCAAGAAATCATTATAGCACCGCCACCTACTGATAATAATTCGCAATGCTATTGAAAGCCTAAGAAGTAATGATACAAGTGATCAGGGTCGAGTGGCGCTCTCTGCTGCTGAAGATGCACAGTCCAAAAAGTTATGATATCAGACCTCAGAATGAAAACGGTAGCAAAACATTTCGGACCCAGACAATTAAAAAATAAAAGACAGGAGGTATATTATACCCCAGTAGTTTCATACGTGAATTATTCAAAATGAGTTAAATGGAAGATTCTTCAGAATCACTTAGCCTAAATTAAAAAAATAATAATAATAATTTCAACAATCGCACATTTTTGTTATGTTTCGTGTTTAACAATCAATAGTAATACGTGCTTCACTTCGTTATGTCATAGATTTGCACGAACATTCGATGTATTCAGTATGACATTATTTGGAAAAAAATATTAATAAGCAATTAAACTCAATCAATTCACCCTCACCTACCACCCCTCATAGGAACACTAAGGAATGTAAAATGGAGCCCCCAAAATTACCCAGTCTACAGTATATGCAAAAGCATGAAAAATAAAAAAAAATGTTTTCTCATTAATAAAATTAAAACATTAATATAAATTACACTTGTTTCAAAATAGAAAATCTTGGAGTAAGATAAATTGTAAAAATAACTGAAATGTAATACTAATGCTGCCAAAAAAGTCTGTTAAAAGAACATTTTGAATTAAATCACATTATTTAGAGGCAACTGATTTCCGTACTAAAGGCTACAGTACTGTACTGTACAGTATATGCTGATGTAATGTTAGCAGGTAAACGTTCCTGTACTGTCAACTGACACCATTCATGGAGAAGAAAACCACTCAGTTATTTACCAAAAAAGAATTTAACAAACGAAATGTGTTAGATTATCTATACTTGTCCTTGAGATTTACGTGAGGTCACCAACAAATCGAACACCAAAACAAACTAAACATAACAGATGACATCAGCTCGTACAATTTCAATTCCTGGATGGCAGTTGAGTGCTAATCCGACTTCCATCCCGGATTTCTCAAACTAAAACAAGGGACAGGCTGGCAACTAGACAACAACACCGGATTGAGGAAATTGAGGAGGGCAAACCATGTGCAAAACAAACTTGTTTAAAGCCGAAAAGCATGCAACCTGATGTTCACATCTAGACAATCTAAGCAGCTAGACGTCGTTTTCGCAAGTGCTCTCTGCACTGGACTGGACCAGCAGCCCATACCGCAGTTCTACAACAACAGCAAAGAGAAAAGGACTTATTTTTATTTCTCAGCCATGCAGCCCTTATCGTTGACAGTGTTTTTTGTGCTGCTGATGCGGGAGGTGAGCGCTTGGAGCGCCAATGTCAAATACGCAGTCGACTGCCCGGAGCGGTGCAATGTGGAGCAGTGTCCCGGGACCCAGCGCTGCAAACGGACCGTGCTGGACGACTGCGGTTGCTGTCACGTGTGTGCAGCGGGCCGAGGAGAACTCTGTTACCGTACGGTGTCAGGGATGCACGGGGTGAAATGCGGACTCGGGCTATTTTGTGACTTCTACAAGGAAGAGGACGATTTCGGGGATGAATATGGCATATGTAAAGGTACAGTGCTAGACATGGAGCACCTGCTGATCGCCGCTGGAGAATTTATGTAGTTTATATACCGTACAGGATATAGAGTGAAATTGAATATAGTAAAAATCTACATATTAAATGTTCTCTGTATATTTGAAATATCGTACTTGGTAATTTGTTGTGATTAAAGTGTGTACAATTCTGTGTTGCATATAATCTTTTTTTTTTATGGAAGGGACATTGCGTATGAGTATGTGCTTTTTCCATTGCTACTACAGAAACATGCAAAAGCAAGAAAAATGTTAAGAAAATATACATTGTTTAATAGAATATATACTTTTAATTTTTGTAGAATTGTACTAATTATTGTGTGAGAACAAAGATCTGTCTCTATTCCCAGAATTGGCATCGTATCCCATTTATAAGGAGAGACTCAAATCTTATCTGTGAGAGTTAAATTCAAATCCCGTTTTAAATGTGTTTTGCTACCTATATACAGTAGCTGGCTTTGATGCACGCATATCCTTTAAATTGCTACAGGGACGGAGGAGGGACTTACAGTATGTCTGTAATTCTTAACGCAGAAGTAATCTTATAAGAATCGGCATTTAGGAAACTAAGATAATTGCAGGTTGTCTCTAAATGAAGTTCGGAAATTTGTAGTCACTTTCTTAAGATTAATATAAAGTATTTAACCGCTTACATATCCAAGTGTTCATCATATCAATATTTTATGGAATAGAATGCCAATTAGTTACATCAACCATGACACTGTGGCACTGTAGACTTTATTTTCCGCCTTTCTATGTCATGTGTAGGTATTAACAAAAACTAAAAACTAGGAAGAGCAACGTTTTTATAAAAACCTCCATACTTGGAATAAGATTCTACTTTTTTGTTTTTTGAAAGCTCGAGATATTTTTTCAATAAAAAGGTAGCTCATTTGAAAACAGAATCTCTTATAACTATTAGAATTCAATAGAGTATTCCACATGATGATTAGATATTATTTGACGATATCATTCTTTTCTAAAACATTTTTGCAGAGTCAAGTCTATTTTTTAGTACCACAAGGAAAGACTCGAGCAAGAGAATGCTTTAGCACTTATTTATGTTTTTGAGCGCAAAAGCTGTTTTAAGAACATTACACTCACACTCGTTTTTTTAGACAATCATTTAATTGCGTAAGTTGCTGTTAGGGATCATGGTAGAAAATCCTCATTAGTTTCTGAATATCGTGGAATTGAATGATTGTTCCGTGAACAATATACATTTCAAAATGACTTTCTGTTTTGCGGATCTCAATACAATTTCCCGTTATGGAAGTCAGGAGGTAATTTACTGCATAAGTGTGTACCGTACTCCAGGGTGACTTTTATCATTTTGTGTTTTGCAATACAAAAAATAACAATAGTTATGTTTTTTTCTAGCAATGAAATACCCTGTATACTAATACTTATAATTTGAAAGTAAAAGTATTTTGATATATATACAGTACATTATACAGTACATGTTTCACATAGACATTCCTCTTTTTTTTGGGGGGGGGGGGGGGGTAAAATAATGTTTTACACCTAAAAACTACAATACACTAGCCTGCCAGAAAGTATTAAATTAACAAATTAAGTATAGAGGGGACTTATTTTGTATTTATTTTTAATCAGTGAGAGCCCTGAATTCCATCATTTTCAAAGTATTGAACAGATTGCTTTGCATAGGGGACTTGTACATGAAAATCACAATTATGACATACAAATACAGTATGTTCTGTGTTTTTTTAAAGCAATGCAAATAAGGTGGAGACCTACAGTTAGTTCCTTTTATTTCAGTTTTTTGGCATTTGTAAGTACTGTAGATTCTCAATTGTCTCTTTGAACAATCACATGATTTTAATGCAGATCAGATGTTTGTTTGAAGTCATTCTTCTTTTCACTGATTTAATTATTCCTGGACACTAAATTATTATTTTTTCCTTTGCCAGATGTACAGTTCCCTGTACAGTCTGTTATTATTTTTTTTCAACATCCTTTGGCAAGACTAACTATTTTATCCAATATTTATGGTATTCTTACCGGATAAGGTGGAATTAAAACCTGTCCTTTTTCTAAGCACCTAATTAAGCTCGGTATTAGTGCTAAGTGATTTTTTGTTACTTGTTTAATCATGTTTCTTGAACTGGTAGGTGTTGTGAAAGCGGATGCTTTGTTTTATTAAGCAATTTCAGTAACTTGCTAAAAGCTCATACTAATCTTTACTTCTGGAGCTATATATATATTTTGCTGAGGCATGCTTAATGCTGAAGACTTTAGGGTTTTCCAGGTAACAGATTCACAGTATTAAGTCATTTTTTACAGATTTCTAGTATTCTGATATTTATTATTTTGCAAATTGTCTTTGTGGGATTTTGTGTTTGAAGACAAATGTTTATATAACGTTGTTAACACAACACATAAGGAAAACAACATTTTTGGATTTTGTTTACAAAAAAACCATATTTTCTGTCTAATTGTTGCAAAAATAACTACAGGGTTCACAGGTATTACAGTCAAATTAGATAAATACTAGGTGTAGCTGTCAACAGGAATATACTAGTCATGTACACAAAATGAAAGAAACTTCATAGAATACCTGTATTTTTAGGGTAAGGGTAGTAATCACTATAAACTAGTATAGTATAAATATACCATTTATATGGTGTTAATAAATTCACAAGATACATTTTAATTAACGAACAGAAATGTGCAAAACAAACTTGTTTAAAGCCGAAAAGCATGCAACCCGATGTTCACATCTAGACAATCTATGCAGCTAGACATCATTTTTTGCACTGGACTGGACCAGCAGCCGATAAAACAGGTTTACAACCATAGCAGAGAACATTTTTGTTTTGCTCCAGAACACACTAACCTGGTAGTTCGGTATTTATTCATTACCAGTTTTGTTTCTTACAATAGGTTAGTACTTTTATGTTAAACTCATAACAACAAAAAAATGACTGTAGAGTAAGGTAGAATCATACAATTTAACAGCAAGGTGATGTCATCAGAAATGTCTGTTATTTCTATGAGTTCAGTTTGAGGTCCTATTGGACTTCCAGCTGTTCCAGTGTTCCTGCATGCACTGAGATATAATGATCCTCAATTTGTTTAATCTTTTCTTTCCAACAGAGTGTTTATATGGAACCTATGGTTTGGAATGCCGTAAAAAGTGCAGCTGTAAGGCTGGAGGCATCTGTGACAGGGAAACTGGACAATGTCTGAAATTTAAATTTTTAGCAATGCTGGCTGCAAAGCAAGCTAACAGACTCAAGCTGATGCCACAGACAGGTAGGAGCACTTTGTTATTCATGTTAGCATGAATAAAAACATTACGATTTGACATATAAAGGTTGAAACAGTTATCCATTATCTGTGGAGCCCTAAGGCTTGAATGAAAATAGCAAAGTCGTGTATATCTTCTTATGGATTCAATACTCTATGTAGAAAATGAATGCCTTAATAATTGCTTTAGGATAATTGTTGGCCAGTGAGATTACTTACTGCATGTTTGTTTTAAAATACTTGTTGTAGACCTGAAGTATTAAATAGTATCACTATGGCGATTAGATTCAGTAGAATAATTTGTTGCTTGCCTAACTGTTGGTTCAGTCCATTTTTTTCTTATATTCAATGGTCCCCAAGTATTGCTTTATCTGAATATCTGAATGCCAAAAGGTCATGTCTTTGCTGTATCTTAACATTTAATAGGCTAAACCAGGAAATCATATTTAAAGATCCATTTTATATCTGTTTGTGTCTTTTATCATGTCATTTCCTTCACTTTAACATAGGTGAAGGTAAGTAAAGGGACAACCTGAGTACTCAAAGTATTTTAATAAAATATCCTCATTAGTATTAGTATAGTAAATTGTACAGGCTGTGGGACCTTTATGACTCATTGCATTTGACTAAACTCTTCACTACAAATGCAATGCAGCAAACCAAAAGATTTATGTTTCTATTATCTTTTGTGGCTGTAGCTTTAGGAGTTACACATGTGCTGTTAATCTACTGAACTGATTGGGTTTCAGAGTTATGTAGTATCACTTCATAGTTTTCTTAAAGTCAATTTCTGTATTCTACATTAAGCTCTATCATTTGAGTAATTATGTTCTAAAACATGAACATAAAACATTGAATAAATACAGTATGTACTAAATCATGAAAATGAATACAAGTTTAGATGTCTTAACAAAACATGTAACACCAACTGTTTATATTATCTTAATGTAGTATATAAAACATTATCACTATGCCTTATGGTTAAATTTTTCATATACCTTTTTTTATAGAGAATGATATGGGATCTGGTGACAGTGACAGCGATCTCCATGAGGATTTGTTAAAGGAGAAAACAGCACAATCTGCAGTTGAAAAATGGCTAAATCCCCGCTGACATTTTCTTCAGTACATAGCTTATTCAGTTTAAATGTAGCAAATTAATAAGTTAAAAAAATCTATTTTGTTATGTTCATGACAATAATGGCTATTCTTGAGATGTTTTATATATAAAATGTCTGGAAAACTGGGATTTTGACTCCTACTGTATTTGTAATCGCTTTTGTGAAAAATCTTCATTTTCATCCTTTCTTCTCTTTTTCGGAAATATATATATGAACAACACATGTAGAGATGTAGATTTATAGTAATGTGCTTGTGTAGATGGCTTTAAAGAAGGAAATGGCCTTATCTGATTTGTTGTTTTCAAATAATGTTAATATTTATGCCTATATTTTTAAGGGGTTTGTGGATTTGCAATATGTGTTTAAAAACACTTAATTCTGTTGTGTAGTAGATAAAGGCACTATACTATGTATTACACTCACATATATTGTACTTGGGTTATTGTCCAGATAATCTGTTTTGCTTTCTTAAAAATGTAGGGACACAGAGCTGTTGTTCCTTGACTCCTTAAGTAGTTTTGCATGGCAGGGCTCTATTGCTAAAAAATTGTGCTGTATTGTGACTGTAAACATTCCTAAGTGGGAGCTCCGGCATTCTTTTGCTATAACTCATCCCTTTGAATGTAGCACTGTTTTTAATCAAACATGGTTTCCCATGTCATATTTCCTGTTTCCTTTTTCAATTCCCAAAATGAAAAGAGAATCACACCATCCCAAAAACATCTCATTGATGAACCAGACTGAGGTAGAGAGAGCTGTTATCCAATGATACCTGCAAAAGTAATCAAGATGCCTCCTCGTATCAGCATTGCTTCCTACAAATAAAAGGAGATATGATGACAAGTGAGCAGACCACATTCGAGATAACCTTTTTGAAAACCTTTTTGAAACTGTTGTCTTGTTTTGCCAGTGTAATGTATAAATTCAGAATAAAATAGTTTGATTTTAAACCTGAGTGTCACTTTAAGCATGTTATACTTGCATTGTCTGCTCACACACAATATAGTGTTAGTCGGTTTTTGGAAAATCTTCAAGAATTAATGTGTATTCTTAAAGTCATAAAATGCAAATGTATGCTGTATTACTTTCTGAAATTAACTCAATTTATTTCAGTCATCGTTGCAAAACCAAACTGGCTTTTCTCAAGTGAAACAATGCTTTGGCTGTTCACATCAAGGTTTGTAACTCCATAACTGTATGCCAATAAGATGGCTAAACTCCTATTTGTAATGATAATGAATCAACATCATCATCAAGATGAGAAAGATGATGACATTTTGATTTGCACAAAATAGTGCTTTTCCAATGTACTCCCATGTCTCGTGTCTCATGTGTGTCTTAAAGGGTTCCTACAGTATAATAAAGAGATTCTGGTACTATTCAGCAGTTTTAGTATTTTATGTCTTAAAAAACAAATATGTATTTAAAACAACTGTTGCCAAACAAAACATAATTTTGGGGAAATCTATTTAACATATGGTGTTTTAAATTTAAAGGTGTAATCCTGATGAAATGTTGAAATACACCCTCCTTTCTGCTTCATGTAACTCAATCTCTGGTTCTCTTGTTCAGAATTAATCATAACTTTAAGCAGCTCTTTCTTTTATTATGTTTGAAGTTCAAGAAAACAAGATTTCAAAACATATACTGTAGGTTGGCAATTCTAAAACATGGGGGCTTTTAAAATGTTATTTCCTTCTTGCTTGTGGTCTACTGTTTTTGTCTACATCCAGGCTTCTTTCCAAAATAGCTAAATTTAGATTTTAAGCAATCCTCAGCTCAATAAATTATATGGTAATTTCTCATCTGCAGTTTTTTTTTAACAGACTATTGTGCATTCCTTTATACAATAGTCTTTAGTAAGTCCTAGAAATCTTTAACTAAGGAATCCTTTTAGTGAGAACTGGAGCCAGTTAACTTGTCCCTCAGATGTCTTTCATAGTCTGCCACTAAAGGTAAAGTTTTACTAGCTTCTCAACAGACGAAAACACAATCAAATTCTGTATGAATATACCCAACAGTCTAGGAAAAGAGTGCAGGAAATTCTGCATTTTGTTAGATGTAAAGTTTTTTATTCTATTTGCAAGTGATACACTGATGATTTTATAAGTCTGAATATAGACAAGCATTCTGTAGTATGATATAATTCAGAAAACCCATACTGTACATTATAAATCTGAGAACATAAATACTGAACTTCTAGAAGTAGCTTATGAAAAAGATTAAGGTGTTAATATAGATTGAACAATATCCTCCTGTAGTCAATATGGGGAAGACCAAGAAAATGTTAGACCATACAATGAGAAATGTGATTTCTCAGGAAAGGCTACAGATTCTTGTTCACCCTGAATTGGAAGAAGCAATTAGAAAATGGATGGATGGTATGTAAGTAAAGGTTTGGTCATCACATCACTAAATGTGTGTATTGTCTGGACACTCCACTCAAAGCGCTTTACAGGTAATGGGGACTCCCCTCCATCAAAACCAATGTGCAGCATCCACCTGGATTATGCGATGGGAGCCATAGTGCGTCAGAATGCTCCCCACATGCCAGCTATCAGTGGGGAGGAAAATAGAGTGAAGAAGCCAATTCATAGACGGGGATTATAAGGAGGCCATGATTGGTAAAGGCCAAAGGGAAATTTGGAACGCCAGGACGACTCCCCTACTCTATTCGAGAAACACTCTGGGATTTTTAATGACCACACAAGACCTCTTTTTTACATCTCATCTGAAGGACAGCACCTTTTTATAGTGTCCCCATCACTATACTGTGGCATTTGGACCCACACAGACTGCAGGGTGAGTGTGCCCTACTGGCCCCACTAACACCTCTTCCAGCAGCAACCTTAGTTATTCCCAGGAGGTCTCCCATCCAGGTACAGACCAGCCTCACACCTGCTTAGCTTTAGTAGGTTGCCAGTTGTGATTTACAAGGTGACATGGCTGCTAGCCGTAAAAAAGAATCTAAAAAAGGAGCAACATTTTGAAAGATATTGATTCAGAAGCAACTCTTAGGATGGTTTTATGACCAACATTGAAACAAGGACCCACGAAAATGTAAAGAACTAAAGAGGACAAAAAATTAGCATAGAAACATGGGTATGTATTTAGACAAATACCATGAAAAAGTATAGCAAACTACAAAGCCACATTATTGGAGCAGATGGTTAAATCAACAAAAGCAAAGAAAAAAGATAGATGACAAACAATAGGAAAGTATTCAGCTGCCAGCCCATCGTCAGAATGTCATTCGTTTGTGGTAAGGGTTGGGGCATCCAGGAGCCATTCTGGATGCACAGAACTCAAGGCACACAGTGACAAATAGAGACATTAATTCATTGTCTGTGAAGGTACTGTATACGGACTGTTTTATTACTTTGTAAACCTTTCTATTCATTTACAGATTGTTGCCTTACTCTATTCATGGAGCTGGTCACACAGAATTTATTCTCTTTATTCCTTTTACATCTCCTAACCTTTCTCCCTTTCTCTTGCTCTTGTCCTCCTTCTTAACCCCTTTGCTTTATAACCCACTGACCTGTTCATTGTCCCACATACAGTACTGGGCCTGAATAAGCAAAAAACATTTTGTACTTTGCCCTTTTGTTTTTACATTTCAGTATGAAATTAACCTTTTATTGGACCTATATTACAGAATACATAGAGTAGGGAAAAATGCCAGCATTAATTTAAATTGATCTTCTGAGATTAATGCTGATCATTTTTTCTTTGAAGAACCATATGGTAGCTAAATTAAGGTGCTTATGACATTTTTGGTATAAGTAATATGGCAAAGTTAAAAATCATAGCTACAGTATAACTGCAGGGGAGATCAGGATATGTGGGATTTGAAATTTTATAGTGGATTCTTATTATCGCATTAAATAGCTGCTTTAAAGAAGACATCAGAATTACTATATGCCAAATGTTCTAGATAATAGACAAGTAAGATTAGAGAACTTTGAAATAGAGGAAATTAATGTACTGTACCAAATAAATCAAAATAAATTCTGAAATCACATGCATTACATGGAATTAAAATATTCTAATTTTCTGTTAGATATTAAAAACTGGAGGAGTGGAAGCTTTATAATATATCATCTATGTGAAAAGAGAGGATTATACTCACCGGGGTGAACATGTAAAAAACATTAAAGAATGGAGTATGTAATTAAAGATAAGTCTGCTCTGAGTTTGGAATGATAATAATAAATGTGGGACTGTTTAAGACCTAATCATTTCCTAATCATTCTGGATCTGTTTTACTGGTATTAAGAACCATTTAGTTAGAATTTAGTTAGAGGTATGTCTTAAATTAAATTTGAGCAAATTTCGTGAACTAAAATCATTATAAATAATATACTTGGAAAACAAGAACTAAGTGCAGAATGTGTTAAACTATCAAGATTATCAATTACATCCAGTGACTGAAGTTTATCAAGAATGGAAACCAACAAGAAGTGTACTCTTCCAGCACCAGGCTAGAAAATCACTCTTCTTTTGAAGCAGGCTTAACACTACTGATATACTGTACGTACAGTATACTGATTATTTTCTGAAGTAATGCTACAGGAAAAAATGCTTGAAAATCACCCAGGTAATATCTCATTGTTTTATTGTTTTAGAGACAATAAAGCTTGAGAAAAAATGTTTAGAGATTTTTGTGTTTAAGGTTATTAAAAATCAAGGCCTCTTGGGTTCTTTTTAAATTTTAATTGACAATTTTGAAGCCTGAACAGGTGTTCTTCATTATTAGGATGAGATATAAATATCTTTAAATTTAAATTGAAGACTTGTATTTTCCTTCTATTGTCTCTGTAAGGCTGTAAGAGTTTCTAGAGTGTGATAGTGCATTTTTATGGTACAATCTCCGCGAATTTTCCTTAATAGAGTCCGCTCCGTAAAGTCTGCCTATAAATAAGTCTAAGGAATAAAAATAACTGTTGTCACCTTCACCTCAGAAATTTCTTTGCTGTGTTTGGAGTCATTTGGAGCATCCAAGTTGTTTATTTCCTATATTTCCTGACACCTGCATAATGGGTCACCTTTTCCTGTTGTTGTTGTGTCTGCCCAGGACAGGAATTTAACAAGCTGGAATTTGTCAAGTGACATACGTCATCATAGGACTGTCAGGGCAGCTAAACACCCCGGGCTTCCGCCTGCTTTATCGGAATTCTTTCCTGATACTAAGTTAAAAATAAATAAGTAAGTAGACACAAACAAGCTTTGCTCAAAGGTTCTGGATATTTTACAGAGATACTGTAGAAGGTGTATAGCAACAAAATATTAATTTATTTAAAAAGAGCTTTATGAGGAAATACTGCACCATATGTTTTCATTTTTATTTGGTTATTAAAATGTTTCTACAAGAAACTAGATTGGTTTTTTAAGGTTAAAATCTGTAAACCTTTTGAGATCTATAAAACTATGAAGCTATACAGCTTAATAAAAATAATAAATTGCTTTACAATTAGAATTACAGCAATTAATATATATATATATTATTTTGCATGTAAATCCAGAAGCTGACTTATAGAAACCAATATTCTGGTGAAAATCCATTAACATTTAGATGCTTATCTACTTACTTAATTCAAGCATATGTCCTTGAAAATAGATTTGAGGACTTCAAATCTGGCATATGAAACACTGGGAAGTAATTATTAAAAATTACTAAGCAGCTAAACATAACATAATCAGTACATCTAGCAGAGCAAAGTGCATATCACAGTTTACCCATTACCTGTGCTTACGGAATGGAGGGTGCTGCTACATTGTACTATTGTTCTGTGACTATTTTATCTAGGTTACTGGCAAAATAAATAACACAGAGATAATTTCATCAAGCTCCCAGAGATTTTGCTTAAACATAGACTCTTTCAGTGTAGATTTCAGATCTTCAGTGAAGAAATATGCCTATTTGAAAGAATTCAATGCATTGAACCAGCCAGAACCATATACAAATATGCAATACAAAATAATTACAGTACATGCTGCATCATCCAAATTGCTTGTCCTAATAGAATTCTGCTTTGTTCATAGATTATATTTCAGCAGCTATCAAGTTCTTTTGTCTGAATCTTTTTTCTGAATTATTTTTTGTGTCTACAGTCTTTCTGCCAAAGACAATGGTTGAAAGTAGTAAAACCACGCTTTACCTTCCTGTTAAGGCACAGGCTCTTATTTTTAGCACTCTGTTTCTGACTTTTTTATTTTGGACTTTCCTCAGCTTCCTTTGTCCTTTCCTTTTGAATCAATTTACTAACACTATATTTGTCGTACTCATTCAGCGAGTCACACAAAGTGGGAATCTCAAGAATACAGCAGGTGGGTACACAATGGGTTATCTTCAAGGCTCACAACCTT